AACGGTTTCGTTATCGTGCTTCGAAATTTCACTTTATGAGCCAGTAAACGTCTTCTTATAGTATGACATGATATATTTAGACCCTTTTTAAGTAAAACCGCTTGCCCGCCACGCAATGATAAACAAGGATTCTTCTCAAACACCCGTAAAATCATTTTGTCCTCCTTTTTCGTTGTTTTCTGCACAGAGCCACGATCCGGCAAGTCGTCAACGTTTTTGACCTCGAAATAACGTTTCACCCACTTACTCACAAACGCCTTAGACTTCTTCATATACTTAGCAGCCGCTCCGCGCGACATTTTTGGTCCTTTCGGATGCGAACATAGAAACACAGCTTCGTAACGTGACGCGTACGCGGCACTCATGTTGAAATACGCCCTTTTGTGACGAAAGTCAAACGATAACTAAGGCTTTCTAAACAAAGCATCTTGGGAGAAGAGCCCCGCTATTGGCTCGCGTTCATATCCCCCTTCTAACGGTTTCGAGGAAAAAGTTTTGCCGTATACGCTCTTATTAAACATACTGTATTATTAGTGTTTTAAAATAAATCCGGACGTTACAGTATACAATATAAAGCTCCCTCAGTAAAAGAGACAGTGGCGCAGTAAGTAAGGTGAACGACTTAAGAAGCAGCGGTCTCAGGTTTGAATCCTAGCATGGTAAGCAAATTTGTTGAGGTACAATTTAAATTAAGTAGCGTGTGAAATAATAAAGTGGGAAATTTAAGAAAATTTTAGGAAAAGAAAAAGATGTAAAATATATAAAATGTTGTGACGTGGCGATTTCGTCACGTCACTAAACGCCATTGATTTTGAACGAGGAGGTGAAAGGCGTCGGGCTCGCACCTCTTTCCTCCACGGGAAAGACGGCTGTGTAGGGTCGTCTCGCGCGCTTTTTGCGTGCTTCGTCATGGTTGAAGCAAGCTCCTTGACGTCGGCAGAACGATGGAACAATGGGCAAGAGAATAAAGTAATAATATATGTGATATTTTGTTTATAATTAGTTATTGCTGTGCAATACAAAAGATAAGATATTTTATAAAATTAAAAAGATTATTTTTTTATATTGTTTCTGATAACCGCAATAAATGCGTGATATTTAGTTTTTATTTTAGTTTTATGCTTAAAAAAATAATATACATATATGCAACATATGCGTGCGTTTGTAGTATATTTACATTTTTTTCTATTATTACATAAATATTTTAATGTAATTATTTTTTTCCAAGATAAAATAAGTATTGCACTTATGTACATTTATATATTTATATACTTATTGGCAATTTTTTATAATTTGTAATACAGCTAAATGTCTCGCGATTGTGTCGTGTTCTTGTTATTTTCTTTTTTTTTAAGTATAAGTGCGACCGATAGTAAGCAGAAGCGAGACGAGCTGGCCAGCCGAAGGAAGCCATGCCTGAGGGGAGCGAGGTCGCGGATGGGCCGAGGAGGGGCGGGATTCATCCTACGCTGTAGAAGGCGAGGGGCCTCTAATAAACTTTGGAAGGCCGCGGACGCGCTGAGCCCTGGAGAACGTCCTTCGGGGGATGCCCTGAAGACCGAACTATTTCCAGGAGCCGCCGGCCGCGAACAAGGAAGCAATCGATTACCGTCCGAGAAAGAGCCAACCCAGTCAGAAATACATGGTTGACGTGACGTCGAACTAACGTCGAAAACCAATATTGAAATAAAGTGGAAATTTTGATCAAATCGACATCGAAATGATACAACTTTTTGACGAATTTTCGACATCGTTTTGACATAATTTCCACGTTGAATCAATCATTTAAGTATATCTAATTGAATACTTTTTTGAAATTTTTAAAATTATTTTAAATAATCCCAGCAAACACCAAGTTACAGTTATATAATTGTTAGTTGTAATTTCTCACTCAACAATATAATTTTTTATATAACACGCGTTATATAACTTAACTTGGTGTTTGCTGGGATTCTTGATTCGAATATTAGTAATAAATAATTAGTTTACAATAAAATTAAAGATAACTCTACTAAAAAAGAAAATATGTAAAGAATAATCGTATAAGAATACATATCACTTTTTTATTTTTATATATATATATATAT